ACACCAAGTTCTGTTATTTCCGAATTGACAACCAAATCTAATGGGATCAGAAATTTAGATCAGAAAAGAGAAACCGACATTGAATAAATTAAGCAACCAAAATTCAGCAGATCCGGGTAGGAATGGGTCGGCATTGCTAAATTCTGTCCAAAATCACTAAAAATTTTGCATAGCCCGCTCACCAAGTAAAGTTGCCCAGATGATAATTTTGCTATAGTATGGTTGACCAGAATTATTGCTAATACCGACCTAACCTTAACGTTAACCCAGAATATTGGTCGATCTGCTGAATTTTGCTAATCTACTGCTAGGATCTTGTTTATTCGTATAATACTAATAAGGGGCCTAGAATTTCCGGAAAACGGCCCGCGTTATACATTTAACACTTGATTTATTTAATATTAGGATTATGGTCAGGATTTAGATTAGTTTATATGTAAAATTGCATCACCGTCTTTTTTTATGAGTAAGAACGATCATGACATCTTTTTCGTTTCCGAAAATTTAGATTCCGTACTTGTTGTTAGCCCTGTCAAACCTCATTAATCTATTTTTAATCCAACTGTTTACGATTCTATTAAGTACTTGTTTTATGAAGGAAAAAAAAACGTTCTTATCGTTATAGAATTTTTTCTCCTTGTCAATTATTATGGAAGGAAAATAACCGATATTATGAATCATTTCAGTTTAGCATATTTATTACAAATAAATTTCTAAGTCTTTTTTTTTTTTTTTTTTGGTACTGTATTTGGAATAGTGACTTGTTAAATTTTTCCTAACCTTGGAAGTGCACCAATTGAATTTTTATAATAAAACTAAAAAAAAACTCGTATTGTTGCCACTGTCAATCGGGGTTTCAAAATTACCGATTTATAAAGTCAACATAGTAAAAAAATCCTATTTTATTTTAAAATGCACTACTTATTTATTAAATTTTGAAACTCTATTAAGATTATGTTAAAATGGCATAATTTTTTAAAAACAGCATTTTAATATTATTTAGCTTGAGCGTTTAACAGCTGATCTGGCATTTATTATTATTATGTTTTATAGTTCAAAATCACCAATCGCGAATTTTCACATAGTCGTACGTACCAATTTTCATATGGTAAAACCGATTAAAACCGATTTATTATGAAAAATAAAGTTCCAAGCTCTACCTTAAAATATACTTAGTTAACAGACAAAATCTACTAAAAAATAAAAAATGAATAAATAAATCAATCAATTTGAATTCGGATATACAGTATATCCAGACTTATCCGAATTTATTTATTATATAACAATTGCCGAGTGTTATCATCGGTTAAATAGAGCAAGCAATATTGATGGACATAAGAGTAACTTAATATACCCATCCGAGTTAATATAAGATATTAATATTATACGAATTTATTTATGTATTATAATACTGTATTATGGATTATTCGGATTACTCAAAATTCGAATTGATCCAGAGATAAATATAAATCCGAATTCAACTACAACTTCTAGGCAGTGTTGTACATGTTGGCGTGTCCAAAGCTTTCTTGAACATGTTCAACGTCCAAATTTCCGAGTATCCAAAGTGTCTAAGCTATATATAGCCGTGAATATTTTAGTAATAGAAATAAAAATTATGTGATTATATTCGTCATTAATTCTAAACATTTTTGCTTAAAAGATTATCTTAAAGCATATTCTCTATTTTTTTGTCCAGCTAATGTTACATATAAATAATCAGATGTATACAAGTATAAAATTCTTACGTAACCATCGCGTGATAATATCTTTCTGGATGAAGTAGTACCGATCAATACTGTAAATATCATGTGAAGTAATACGCATTTGTGCATAATAATCTAACGTTAATGGCCATTGAACCGATACATTAAAAATTTTTGAAAATGAATCCGTTTACTAATTTAACACAATATTTTTCAAGGTTTTATCTTATATTAGGGTTTCATCAGAGATTTCATCTTTCTCCAGAAGCTTTATCTTTCTCCAAAGGCATATTTTACGAAAGGTTTCGTCTTTCACCAGGAGTTTCATCGTTAACCAGGAGTTTCGTCTTTCGCCCTTTACGTAAAGTAGTATCACCTAATCATTTTGATCGAGATGAATATCAATCGACAAAAGATTCGATACCATTATTACAAAAACATTTAAACGAATTAAAAAAAACAAAAACCGAACAATTTATCAAAGAACCACAAACAAAACAACGAACTGATGCAAAAAAATGGTTTCAAGAACAATTTGGAGAAGCCATGACAATGAAAATACGAAATAATTTAACAGAATGTAAAACAATTATACAATTAAGAGATTTTATATCTAATCGAATATTTCCAAATTCAACAGATATTAAAGTTAATAAAAAATTAACATCTAAACAAAATCGAGTAGTTGATGATTTTGGACAACCGATAGATGCAGATTACGCAACACTTATAAAAGAAAGTATTTTGTTATGTCGTACAAAGTTTAATGATCCTTACATGGCATTCGCGATATTTGAACAAGTTAAACGTCGAGGTGCCATATCATACGCACTTGGTTGTAATGCACAAGTTTATAA